AAAAAGAAGAGAAGAAGAAAGAAGAGAGATGCAGAATAAATTACTTTGAGTCAGGCTAGAGAGAAAAGAAAAAATAGTGAGTGTTATTTTGTATTTTAATTATTTCAGATAATGAAATAAAGTACTACTACTACTCTAATGACATAGACACACTTACCAAATCTTGTAAATATTATGTCTTATTTATTTTATTCCACTTGTATAGTCTACTTTACAACAATTCCAAAATTAAAACAATTTTCCTTATTTATTTGTTTATTTATTCCTGAAGGTACTCTTTCTCTTGTGATCTGACCAAATATGGGCATCTTGACTCTTGAGCATCTTTCTCCCATTTATTCTCTTTTTATTGCCCTCCTGTCTACAAGGACTGCTCTCTCTCTCTCTCTCCGCAGCTTCACTTTGCTTCCTCTCAGCCCACAGATCTCTTTCTCTCTCTAAAGCTCAGATCACATCCGAGCAGGTACTTCAGATTCCTCTCTCGAATCCAACTTTCTTTATGTTTACAGTTTACTGCCCCTGCTGGTTAATTTCATATTTTATTTTATTTGTTTGTCAACATATTATAGTGATTTGATCTGTTAATATCATGTTTTCGCAATTAAATCTCATCATTGCTTTTGATGTTGGCGCTGATAAATTTCTGTGCTGTTCGTATTTTTCTAAATTAGGGTTCATAAGGTTGTAATTAGATATTGTTTTGTTTATCAGTATGGTTATTAAGTTCTGGGCTGCTTCAGTTTTTCAGATGACCCTTTTTGTTGTTTGGTCAAGTTCACTTGGTCTGCTCCATTTGGGTTTTATTGGGATTACCATAACATGAATAAATACTTCTGGGTTTTCGAAATTGCTTGTAATCAGTTTGCGAATTTCCGCAATTTGAGCATGTTTAGTTCCTAATGTGTGGTTTGTGTTATTGTGATGTTACACTTATCATTGAATACTCGTTACTCGATACAAGTTTAGCTCGTAGTACTTGGACCTATAAGCTCAAAGACAAAGCCTTTTGCTATAAGTGCTTGTAGTACTTGGACTTAAAGTGTTCGTGTCGTGCGTACTTATCAGGTTATTAGAGTTTCGTAGTGTAGCTACTACTTTGCTAGTTTCTGATTCTCTTGTTACAAAAACGATATCCCAAATGTGTCATTGGTTATGCCCGTATATTCATTATCAAATCTTACTAGACCTTTTACTGCTTTAATCTGTCTTATGTTTTCAGTGTATTGATTGTTTTATTGGTTGGTTATGATTCTAATGTGTGGTTGTGATATTATACTTGTGATTGAATCTCCAAAACTGTTTTAGGCATTTAGCTCATAGTAATTTAACTTATGAGCTCAAATACAAAGCCTTTGCACTCTAATCTGGCGCTTACAATGCTCCTGTATGCTTATCCGGTTATAAGATTTTCGTATTGTAGTTTTACTTTGCTACTTTGCTGATTCTCTTGTTACATATACGATATTCACAATGTATCTCTTGCTTTTGGTCTCTTCTTGTTGTTGTAATTTTCTTTTAACATCTTAGTAGTTTCGTCAATATGTTCTTTTACTACAAGTACTGATTTTAAACATTCTGTAGATAGTCATGCAGGAAGCGACTCCTGCCCCTGCTCCCAGTGCCCAACTTGTTGGCAATGCCTTCGTAGAGCAATATTACCATATTCTTCACCAATCTCCACAGCTAGTGCATAGGTTTTATCAGGATTCGAGCTCTCTAAGCAGGCCAGATACCAAGGGCAATATGACAACAGTGACGACCATGCAAGTATGTATTCTTTCGTTCATATATGTTCACGACACAGTTTCTACTTCAAGGCCTTAGATACTTTGGAACATGCTCATGGTTCGGTTTTCACAGAAAGATTATTTTCATAACATGTTTCGAGATTTGACTTTTCGTTTTTGTATGGCTTAACATGAATTGGGAAACATTTTTCTTTACATTTCCAATTCAGTTTTTCACTTTAACGCATTAAAGAAGTTTAATTTTTAGCAAGCATGTAGAAAAATATATATTTTACAATGGTTGAACATGAATTTGGCGGCTTTTCCAAATACATTGTTGTATTAAACTTTTCTTTAAGTGTATGTTGAAAAACGTGGACAGGATGTCTATTTGATGCTTCCAAATGTAGACATTTATGGACCAATTATAACCGGCCTAACTGGTAACATTTTTTATATGATTGGGTGGCTGATTCAGATGGCCAGTGCTCTAGTCATGAAATGATGAAAGTTTTGGTATATTGCATGTTGAACATGTTACAGTATAAAAAGTGAGGCATTTAATGAATCAAATTCACGACCTTTTTGGGACCAAACTTTTTGTTTTAAAAATCGAAAAATTATGCATCACTTCTTGGCCTTGATATAAACTGAATTGAGAATCCTGAATTTTTATTGTAAATTATAATTATTGATGATAAATATTACATTTGTTAACATTGCACTATCTATTGGAACAGGCAATAGGTGAAAAAATTCAGTCCTTAAATTATGGAGACTATACAGCAGAAATAAAAACAGCAGACTCTCAAGAGTCTTATGAGAAAGGGGTGATTGTTCTTGTGACTGGATGCTTGACTGGAAAGGACAACGTGGGAAGAAAATTCGCGCAGACATTCTTTCTAGCTCCACAGGAAAAAGGGTACTATGTATTGAATGATGTTTTTAGGTATATTGAGGACAACGAATCATTGCCGACTGATACTGCCTCAGTCAATGGCATCAATGAAAGTGCTCCAGAAGCTATTGTGACAGCAGAACCAGGTTAACATTAGTTTTCTTTCTTCCTATACCTTTTTGTGATTTGCTTTGCCTGTCATTTTCAAATTGCTTTTATGTTTGTCCAGAGCCTATTCACGCTCCCGATCATCTTGTGGTGGACCCTGCTACTCCCTCTGAGGAAGAAGATCTCAATAATGGTGCTGAAGTTTGTGATCCTTCAGATAATGACGAACGATCGGTTGTTGAAGATGAGCTTGTGGAACCCGAGCCCCAAGCTCTTGCAAGTCAGAATAGAGGTCTTGCAGAAGTTGATCCAACCCCTGATCCTGCCCCTGAAACTCAGGAGGATGCTCCAAAGAAATCATATGCATCAATTGTGCGTTAAGGCTCATAGTTGATGTTTTTAGGAGAAAGTATTTTTACTTTTTGTGTCAACTGATTTTGGCGTGCTTTTACTTTTCAGCTATTGGAGAAAAGCACAGCCAGTTCTGTCCGCGTGGTTCCCCGCACTGTGAGGACTGTATCTGCAAACAGTGATCATCAATCCACTGGTCCTGCAAAACCATTTCCTGCGCCAGAGGCATCAGCTCCTATAGGTGATGCTGCCCCTGAAAGCAGCAACACTCACGAGGAAGGTAAATAATACTCAGCTTTCTGCCTTTGTTTACTCTCAAAAAACAAAAATAGTACTCATCTTTCAATGGTTGGGTTGCTCAGTTAACTACCGTAACACTTGCCTGAGTTTTAGACTTGCATTTAGTCTTTCATGAATGATGCATGATCTGTTAGCTATTTATTGTCATGCAAACAGCAAGATCAAACTTATTCGTGTTATGGGTTATTATCTAATCTACAATTTATTCTTTACAGCACCTGAAGGTTACTCCATACATGTACGGAATTTGCCGTATGATGCAACAGTAGGACAACTTGAGAAGGAGTTCAAGAAGTTTGGGCCTATTAAGCGTGATGGGATCCAAGTCAGGAGTAGTAAGGTATTCTTCATTTGTATAATTCACTTCCTGATCCAACTGATAATTTTTTGGTGTAACCTTACAGTTCATATATTTGTCTTTCTAGCAGCAAGGATTCTGTTTTGGCTTTGTTGAATTTGAAAGCTTGAGTTCCATGCAAAGTGCACTTGAGGTAATGTGCTTCACTTTCATATTCCACTTCTCAAATTCCAAGGGCCTGGTTTTTAGCATACAATTAGTGTTACAGTTTGGCTCTTTTAGTTCAAAACTGTAGATATATTATGAGTCATTTATATTGGCTCGAGGACATTTTGTTTTGTCAATAAAAAACAGCATGGACACTTATTTGGAGTCGAAAATGGAGGTATTGTCCCTCGTGAATATCTACTGGTGTCCCTAGAATCCTAGATCTGTTGTTTGAGTGATAGAAAATTATAATCTCCAGTGTGTTTTGTGTTTACAACCTTACTGGGATATAAGTGCAGTTTGATTGGATTCTCATACTGTAACGTGTTTATTCGTAGTTGTGGGAGCCACTGTATGTTTACGTATCTTGTATCATTGTATTTTATTCAATTTTGAACAATTTGAAAATTGTTGCAGGCCTCACCTATCACCATCGGGGATCGCCCAGCAGTGATTGAGGAAAAGAGAACCTCAACTCGAGGTAAGCTGGGGTTTATAGAAGGTTGCTAGGTAAAAGATAACTCCTCTTAAATAATGCTAAGCTAACGAAACTTCTGGTTGTTCAGTTAGCAGTGGTGGGAGAGGGAGGTTCACTTCAGGAAGAGCTGGCTATCGGAATGACAATTTCAGGGGTCGTGGGAACTATGGTGGTGGCGGCCGTAGCTTTGGTAGGAATGAATTCAGAAACCAGGGTGAGTTTTCTGGGCGAGCCAGGGGCTCAGGAGGACGCAGTGCAGATGGTTATCAGCGGGGGAGTTCCGGTGGAAGAGGTGGGCGTCAAGGTGGGGGAAACCGCATTGCCATTCCCCCTACTTAAGTTTTTTTTAGAGAAGGTGGTGGATAGACAATTTTTTGCTCACAAGAGGGTCACTTTTTCTTCCCTTTCTTTTCCTTCAATTGCTATTTGTCGGATAAAAGAGCTGTACTGAGCTATTAGAAACTTAGGTTTTTTGTTAAATTTCGAGTTTCTGCGAAGATTCGTGCTTTTTCCCCTTCCTTTTTTGGATAACCTATGTTTATCTTTAGATTATTTTCGTAGAGCTTACACGGCGTGAGTAAGTTGTGTTAGTTCAATGTACTTCTATGAATCCAGATCTATATATTTATGTTATTTTGGTCATGAAATTTCTCCATCTCCATTTTTGTCATAGATGTATCTAAAGCATTCACAGTTACACTTACACAAAAGGGCCAAAATAATAAGTGCCAAGCTAAAACGCACGATAGTGCATGACTGGCTTAGGACATCGTCACTGTGGCATCTCGGTGCAAGCAAGTTTTCTCTCTCCCGAGATAGACCTAGCTCATCAAATTTCAATTTGATTTCTGCAAGCTGGATACAAGATTTGATGCAGCAAAAGCAGCTGAACCACCAGCTACTGCAGCCAAAGCAACAACAGCTTGTAACCCTATCTCCAAAGGAGAATCCTCCGGCACAAGAAAAACAACAAATGGACCCAAAACCAGCAGTCCTAAGCTTAAACTCAACAACGCACCGGGAGTTCCCGGGTCGGTGGCCGCTGACAGGATTCCGAATTCCTCCGCTTTGGAGAGCAACCCTAGCTTCTCTATCGTCGACAATGAGAGCCCGGACTTCTCTGCCGTGGATAGCAGGCCGGCTTTCTCCGCTTTGGTCAGTAGCTTCAGTTGCTCCACCCTTGTTAGTAGCTTCACAGATGAATTCTGCAATGCAAAAACAGTCCCACGTCGGAATACCAACCAAAGAAATTACGATATTTATAACGAATAATTCTATTCTAATACCACCGATGGCCGAGGCTTTTTGTGATAAAACCCGACAAACATATTTTGAAGAGAAGAAGAAAAGTACCCACCTTCTTGGAGCTAAGTGTTTTGGTAGCTGAAGGCATGGGTTTCTGGGCAGCCATGGATTGGATGAGGAGGGGAGGGGAAGAAGCAAAGTTGCCCCCTTTTGCCGCCGCTGCTGCTCTGAAAGTGAAAGGCACGCTTCCTGCGCTGCTGCAAAATGCTCCGGCCTCCATTTTTCTCCCACGCTCTGTGTCAGTGTCTCTGAGGGCGATGATTGAATCCTTGAGGAAGGCTTTGGTTTGGGCTTAAATTAGTGGACAAGGAAGATCAGGTTCGTTGTATACGTGTCACTATGTGGATCGCTGGATGGAAAGAGAGAGGCTGGTAGACAGTAGCTTTCTACCTTTTTTTTTTCTTCTTTTTTTAATCTTTAAATTGAGTTTTTGTTTTTATATTCGTTATTTGAATCTAATTTCACATGATTTATAGTCCTCTTATAATCAAATTAAATAAATTAAATAAAAACAACGAATAAAATTAAATAATGGCATGTAGAAAGAGGGAAAAATGTATGTTTATTAATTTTTTTGTTATATTACAAAAAGTTAGAACTTGTGTATGACAAATCATTTCTTAACGGATTTAATTACGACAACCTAACATCGAACTTAGATTCCCTAATTTTGTTGTATTAAATTGTTAAATCCAAAACATAGGTACTGAAAAATTGATGAGTTAAAGTTGAGAGAGTTAAACCAAAATTGATCGTATCTTTACAATGTGATATTTTAATTTTAACCACTTTAATTAAATGATAAAAAAGATTTATTCTCGAGTGTAAAATGACATACACACTGACTTGATCAATTGGACGTCTAACCGTCTAGTCAAATTAGGTACCAAACCTTTTTTATATTACCCTATTTATCTATTTATATATTTTTTAGCAGACGATATTATTTACACTAAATAGTGGGGAAGGGGCTAAGCCTCATAATGGGCGAGCTATGATAATGTGGTTCAAATTCGCATTTGGCGAAAATCGAATGCAAAACCTCTCACTTACAAGTGAAATGGGTATCACTAGACTGTAATACTAATAACACTCTATTTATTTATTTTAATTTTGCAACGAGTAACTGAATGAGTGGGGTTGTTTTGGTAATTTCGTCACTTGCCTTCTCCCTTTTAACGGGATTTCGCACGGACTCTATTTTTTCCCATCGAGCACTGTCCCAATCTCAAAACCCCCAAACCTAAACCCTAACTCCCAAACTCCCTCTCCCTCTCCCTCTCCCTCTGCTTCTCCACACATCAATGGCGGACTTCAACGTTTCACTTGAAAAGGCGAAATTTTTCTTGCAGTCGCAGTATCACGACGAGGAGAAGTGGGCTCTTAACATGGTAATCTCTCAAATACTCTCCTACTTTTCAATTTTGATCGAAGCTTCAAGAATTTGTATCTGCAATCTCTTGGTTTTAATTTCTCTTTTGGCTTCAATTTCTGCATAATTTCCTACATATATATGTATATGATTTTGTATGTTTTGTCCATAGGATGTGGGAAAGTTTATATTTGTTTGGATTAGAATTTATAGCTATACAATGACTTGTGATTGCGATTCATGGATGTTCTAGGGACCTCTGTTATGTTGAAATCCTCCTGTGTGTGACTCATCGTGTAATAGTTGCGGGATGCGAGTGGCCGTGCAACCAGCTGTATTGCGTGATTGATTGGCCACTCGCATCCTGCAGCTATCGCACAAGATTTATCCCGCCTTGGAGAAAAAACTTAGTCTGTTATGTGCCTTTTGTTACGAAGTTATTAATGGAAAGCTGGTTTTTCAAGTACAGGGGTTACTAACGGTTCATTTAAAGTGTCCTGTAATCAGACTTTCTTAGGTGTTGTGTATTTGAATTGATATCACTAAATGACTAATCAGTGTTATATGATCGTGTCGTGCATTTTGTTGTTGCATAAGCTTAATATGTTAGTTTTAGGAACTTTAGAAGTGGAAGAAAATGTGCCTTCTATGTTAGATCGGGAAAGACATGAAATTTAGTTAACATTACGGTACATGGATGGGATAATTTACTAATCGATTTATGATGCCTTTTGCCTATAACGATAGATGCGCTTTTAGGTCACGCATGTCCCACCGTCTCTTTTATGTTTGATCTTTGTATGGTGGAAAATTTGTACCTGAGGCCAAACAAAGCTTTTCCTCACATACTTTAGATATGAGGAAAGTTGCCTTATATATTTTTAGCCTTGTTATACTGTAGATAAACCTTTCTATTATTTCGGAACTGCGTTTACTTGCTTTGCGTAGATGCTGGATGGTTATCTCACTTATACAAGTCATAAATTCATCTTTTTTTTGTTTAGAAAATGATAAGGCAAAAGAATTAAAAGTGTGTTCTCTATCTCGCAGAAATTGCTGCGTGCTGCAGGGCTGTTTGCAGGATCGATTCTTCTAATGAGGAGTTATGGTGATCTGATGGCTATTTGAGCTCTACCAATATGTCGTAGGCCATCTTATTTCGCAAGTTCTGTACGGTTCCTTTTGTTGTTTTCGCAGATTTGTTTAGCACTCTATTAAGTTACAGGGTTTCCCTGTTTACTTTTATCGTGTCGATGTTAGTAACCTAAATGTGTTTCCAAAAACATAAGAATGTGGTTCTCTTGGAGAGTTTTTGAGATGAATGAAATTACTCAACTTTCATATACTGGATGGCTGATTATCGATTGCTTATTCATTTGATTTTCCATGCAACTTATTCACCATTAGATGGTGAATAGAATTTTTTTGATACAAGCAATATTTTTTTATTTTTGGAAAATTGGACATTGTATTCCAGGGCCCAAGGCGAAAAAAAGATACAAAGAGGTCCACAAACTATATAAGTACAAAACAAAACAATGGACCTGAATAGTACACACAAAAGAGCCCAAAACAAGTTTTGGGGCCCAAGACAAACACAGACAAAACTACAGAGCTCCTTAGAACCTTGCAATCCCTTTCGTTGCCGGAAATGTCGAGAGCCACCATCACAATCCGTACAACACTCTGACCAACCAGTGCTCCAACATCGCAAAGCATCCACACCAGCGCAAACCCATGCCCCGAACTGCCATCAAGCAACAACCGTCCAGAAACGAAGAATCTGGTGACTCCTACAACCTGCAACAACCCCCGTGCTGATCGCAACCAGTAGACGAAAGAACCTGGTGGAGAAGCCACCGAGTATAGTGCCAATAAAGGCAAACAAACAGAAGGTGGTTGTGTGTACACCCGAGTAAAAACTTTACACACCTTCCAAGGAAAACACAGCCGAGTGTTGTGAAGAAAAGAGGTTGCACATTGGGAAAGAGGAAGCAACAAGGAAGGATGGAGCCCACCTGAATTGGGACTAGAAGGAATAGGGAAAATAGAGTAAGAGGGATAGATGAGAGACATGGAAGTGGAAGGAAAACTAAGGTAAGTGGAAGGAAAACTAAGGTGAGGCTAAAAAGAAATGGAAGAAGGGTGGGTGGAAGAAGGAAGAAGAACAAGATGGTCACCGACCCTTGCTGGAGCTCGGGCCGACGACTAAGGAAAATAAAAAGAAAAAAAAAGAAAAAAGAAAAGAAGCCAACAATGAAAAAGCTCACATAGAGAGGTGAGAAAGACTCTCAGAAGAAAAAAAAGAAAAAAGAAAAGAAGCCAACAATGAAAAAGCTCACACAAAGAGGTGAGAAAGACTTTCAGAAGAGATGGAGAGAACGGCTCTCATAAAATGGGAAAAGCTTGATACAAGCGATATTGGTGGATGAGATTTTGAACACATAATCTCTGGATGTTATAAGATAGTTTCATCTTTGGCTTCGGCTTTAGCTTCAATGGGCTTTAGGGTTCGCATTAGGGGTTTGAGTGGTCCGAGCGCCATTGCAAGTGAGTTAGAAGGTGAAGAACATATAAATTAGGCCCCTTGGGTCATTTATTATGGGGCCAATTTACAAATATGAAAAATAGGTAATCCAAGCGAAATTGAGGGGGAAGAAATTTGTCGCCGTTCAAGGGAGTCAAACTTTGGATATTCCATTTACATGTGTACAAGCGATATTTCTACTTTAAGGGGAGAATGAGGGTTTGGACTGAGTTGAAGATGATGGTCTTAAACACCAAGGCAATTCACTGCTTACCACCAAATCGTATTATTAATTGGTGGGTTTCGTATATGCTCTTAGTATCTCAAAAATACTCACCACCAAATCGTATTGTTAATTGGTGGGTTTCGTGTATGCTCTTAGAATCTCAATTTTTGCAAACATTTTTTAAAATAGGACTCGTTCAAGATTACTTTTCTAAAATGCACTTAAGGCTATAGGCGATAAATCAACTTAATGGGTTAGTTTGATTTCACCTTACACCGTCATCACCACTACCAATCTCACCTATATATTACAGTGATATCAAATTGAATGGATCTTAACGGGTACTCATTAACAACTCAATAAAGTGATTTGCCGTCTTCATGCTATCAAAAAAGTGTTTTCACCCTTCTAAATACAATTCTAAACAAGGCCTTGTTCCCCATTGAGTTTTTTGAGTATGAGTCTCCTCTTTTTTTTTTTTCCTCATTTTTTTTCTACTTCTATTTGAACGGTCACGATTAAACCACGTCCACATTTTATATATTAATTTTCTACGAAAAAAGAAAGACAAAATGAAAAATATGAGGGGACGGGAAAGAATCCTACCCCATCACTTTTTATCTACACTTGGCAGCCATTGGTCCGAGACTCCGTGTGCTCTAGGCGCATGGCACGAGATCTTGGCCCACAGTGCATGTAGCCTGACAGCGAAGCACTGACACAACGGCCCCTATGACGTGGTCCGTTCCCGGGGTGCATTGGCCACTACAACTTGTTGGGGAGTTACGGGACCCGCCTCGCTGACTTGGCACCTTGCTGCCGCATGGCGCACTTGTCACATCGGATCTGAGAAACAGAGTGAGAGAATCCTCTCAATTCCTCGTCACTGGTTTTTAATCTGAAAGTCATCGATCATCGAGTTTTTGGTGTTGTGTTTTCGTTGGACAGTGTTATGATTTATATAATTGTGAATTTTATTTGTTCAAAAAAAATATATATATATAATTGTGAATTTTATTTGTTCAAAAAAAAATATATATATATATATAATTGTGAATTTTAATTAATTAGTAAAATTATTTTAGAGATTTTAGAACTTTTTTCTAATTAGAACTACGCTATTGCGTTTTAACTTGATAATTACTAACATTCCGTGCCTTAATACAAAGTTTTTTCTCTGAATATTGCTACATGAAGAAGAAAAGATGTACGATTTAATTCACAATTTAATATATCAAAGGTATGTTATTGTTGAATGAATAAATGAAACTGGGTTCGATGAAATTTTCAAACTAAAAAGACTTATTAAATGGGTCAAATACAATTTAAAGTTCTCGTCTTGACCATTATGTAGTAAATTTGAATTAGATCAATTGGTCAGACAATTTATTAACACTTTTATACCGTGTTTCAAACCTCTTTTTTGGGTGTAAATTAGAAATTTTTTTTTAATTTTGAAAATTAATTAACTTGTCTAAATCTCTTTTTTTCGACAAGATTAAATTGAATTGAACGAGTTTGAATTAATTTTTTCCTAATGAGGTGCAAAAAGTGTGAACAAATATCTTAAAAAAGAGAAAGGTTATCCACACTCATTTTTATTTCTTACACACCTGGTCCCTCTCAATTTTCGGTCGTCGATCGGATCAAATGAATTAAAGAAGACCAATGATAAAAAACTGATAAGAACGTATGAAAGGTAAAAAAATGTGTGTGAATAACATTATCCCATAAAAAAAATAGTGAAATTTCTAGTGGGGATTGCTTTGCTATAGCATTGGGAATTACGAAATGCGTTACAAGTTCCTCTTACACTTCAGACGTGCCTCATAACAATGCAAACAAAGCCAACGCAGAAACAATATTTCCATACCAACTTCCACTCCTTCCACTCCTCTTAAAGGAAAACGATTACATAAAGCAGATTTATCGTCATGTAAAGTCTCAATAATGAATTGTCATAGATGAATATTTCTCATAACAAAGTATTATTAGGTCGAAACGTCACGGTAATGATGAATTTGTATCATATAAGTTGCTCTCATATGAAGGACAAGAATGATTTACATGGTACAAACAACTATCAACGTAGCGTTATGTGCTAGTGAGAGAAAGTGTGGAAGTTTTGTGTACAAATAGTCGTACATGGTGACGAGTGAACTAGTTTCATATAAGTTGCTCTTAGTTGAAGGACAAGAAAGATTTACATGGCATGTGAAGACTGCCACCATGGCATTATGTGCTAGTAACACAAGGAAAATGCTAGAGAGACATGAATATTTTTTTACCACATTCATGTAATATGATATGGTAAATGATGTGTATATGTCATGTCAATTAATGAGATTATCTCATTGAATGTTGATATATATACGTGTCAATTGCCACATCATATAGTAGATGAAAAAAAATATATATAGTCGCTCTGGCAATAATCCTCTTTTTAAAATTGCACTCAATTTTCCTTACAATTACATGCAAAAGTCCATAAGAGAAAGAGGAAAACGCAGAAACAGCTAAGATGAGTTACAGGTGGTGGGAGAGGAGCAAAGCCATGGAGCTGCAAATTGCAAAGGCTGATGAGAGAGAGAGAGAGAGAGAAAGAGAGAGATGAAAAGAGTAACCGTAGAAAATGCGAACCAGTCTCTATGCAACACTGTGCTATCCTCTTGGAACCACGTGGAGATTGAGAAATGCAGTCACTGTAATACCTTCAAACACCGATTTCCAATATTAATCCCCCCCCTACCCTGCTCCAAATCTCTCACATAAGTTTTGCAGTTCTGTATTTGCAGAGAGAGAGAGAGAGAGAGAGAGAGAGAGAGAGTAGTTGGTTGCAGGAGCACCAGTCTGTCACAAAACCCTTGTAAGCCTGCCTTTCTGGGTTTTTTTTTTCTTTCCATCTCTCTCTCTCTCTATATATATATATATATTTTATTTTTTTTTTCTTTTCTAAAACTTAGGTTAAGATTGAAATCTTAATGGTATTTTCAAAAACCCATGTAATCATATCTGGGTTTGCTTCATCTCTCTCATTTTCTAAAAATTACGGTTAAAGATTGAATTTTTCATGGTAATTTCAAAAATCCATGTAACCGTTTATGGGTTTTAAAAATTGGTCAAAGATCAAATTTTGGGGTTTCTGGGTTTTCTGAATTTCTCACTGTTCTTCATTTTCTTGCTGCATATGCAGTTTCAAAACTTGGGTCAAAAATTACATTTTTCATGGTGTTTTCTTTATCTTTAATTTTCTCCTGCCAAAAACATGCAATCAAAATTTTCATGCCTTGCCCTAACTTTTGCTTTTTCTTGCTGCAGAAGAGGAGGCTTAAACAAATCGTTTTTCAGTCCAATCTGCTCACTTCCTATCTGACATGGCCGCCGCAAACAGAGACAACCTTTCTCAACCCCACAACGCCGCCAAGCTAAATAACATCGCCGATTCCCAGATCCCAGACCTCAACCTGGAATTCTCTCTCGGCGGGATATACACCGAGAATTCCAACCAAAGCCCTCTGGACCGGTCCTCCACGGAGGCTGGAGTCTTGAGGCTTCAAGAACCCCAAACGGCCCCGCAGATGGCTGCTGCT